CCCCAAAACCCCAAAACCCCAAAACCCCAAAACCCCAAAACCCCAAAACCCCAAAACCCCAATAATTATTTAACTGATTGAAATATTAAATAAAATGGATACCTCCGACCTCTCTGAGCAAGTATTCTCCTTAATTGAAGAGCTCCAGGAGATGAGCAGGTCTGACCAATTTGACCGGAAGCTCATTGATGCTAAAATTAATGCCTTTCATAACTGCAAAAACAAAATATTTAGTTTAGACCATTCTGATATGGTTGTCCAAGGTAAATTGTTGCAATTACTTTTAGAAAATCTTGAACTTTACAGAATTTTGATCAACGAAATTATTGAGAAAAAATTCGGTGTTCCGACCTTCATGCAGTTTATGATACAAAGACCTGAAGCTCCTAAGGAAGAGAATAAGGAAGACTCCTATATGACTTCAGAAATAATAGGACCTAGCTCTTATGAATTATTAGAATTCCTTCATTTGTTCTGTAATGGGATGACACAAGAGAACAAGTTCTATTGTCTGAATTGATTCTGATTGAACAATTTCTTTTATTTAGGAATTTTAAGACAGTTTATCCTACACAGAAGAAACTTAGACCCAACAATAACCTTGGTGTTTGACTTCCATTTGATGCTATTCTATTTCAGAATTCTTACACTGAATGAAACGAAACAACTAGAAGAAAAAGAAAAATTCTTGGAGTGTTTAGCCCAAATCATCAAAGATATCTCTTTTAGCCTTTACGAAAATTTGGATACTGACTCAAAACTTTCCAGCTATCATTGCTTGATGTTGTATATTCTATATTTGTTGTTAATCTGGCTCTTCCAGTTCAACTTTGAATTCATTCCGAAGGTCAAAGCAATTATAAAGAAGCACGAGGACTATAAGATCAATAGATTGTTCATGATAGCTCTGTATATCCCCAATGAAGATACTAATGGCAGAGATTCTTTTTGGATATACTTCAACAAAGCTATCAAATATTGTCTCAAGGATATGAATATCATCGTTTCTCGAACCATTTTAGCACAACTAGGTCTTTCACATCCAAAATGGACAATTCAGGAAGGCTTTTTGCACTCTAAAATAAGAGTTTATCCTTTGAAATCAGAGATAGATCAGAATAAAGAAGATAAAGCGAGGAATGCCTCATTTCTTCTGTTTACTAAAGGAGAGAAAACCGAAATCAATCTAACCAACTCTAACCATAAAAAGCAAATCACTATTTGTATCGAAGAAGTTCCTCTAGTCAAAATTATAATGAAGAGTCTGTATTCTCATCAGGCCAGGAACTTGATAAACGAGGATATTTTGATCAAGAGACCTCTTGAGGCAGACCTTGTACTTTACAATTACTCGATGATATTGAAGAACTTGGTATTTGTGTACCAGGACTGGTACAGACAATATTATGGAATTAAGAAGCATCCTTCATACCTTTCACACAAAGAGTAAGTAATTTTTAATTATTTGTAGCCTTGAAGATTCAGGAGAGTCAACCAAGACTCTAATAGACTTCATCAAATGTGTCAAGAAATGCTTTAGGAAAGCCTTGAAACATGGCAACGACATCAACAATCTCTTTAGTATGATAGAGTCATACATTGATCTCAGATTTATAGCCTATAAGAAACTGTTTGGAGAGAATGCAAACGAGATCTCTGAGAATACGAGGAAGAATATATTCACTGCTAATGAAGACTTGTTCACTTGCCTTCATGGTCTCGATCTTTCCTATGATGAACTCACCAAACTCCTTATTGATGATAACGAGGATGAAGACATTGATGGTAATATTAACTCTGAAGAGTTAGAGAACAAGAATGATATTGGAGTAGACCAACTTGAGAATAGCTCCTGGACATCTAAAATCGCTATTATTTACTATATTTTGCATCACAATGAAATCCAGATGAAATGGATCAAGACTGAGAAGTCCAATGCATTCTTTGGGGGTGTTGAAGTTAACGAAATCGAGATCCAGAGATTTAAAGAGCTAAATATAAGAGAAATTCTTGACTTTACAGAGAAGCATTATAGCAAAGTTCCTCTAGAGAGCAGTAAAGAAATAAAAGAGAGTATTTATTCGAAGATATTGAAGCTCTGTACTTTCCAAGTTCCACAGTACTTTAGTACCCAGGTCTTGTTAATTACAGAATTTTTGAAGAAGAATGAGGATAAGAAGTTAGTAAGACTATCAAGAAGGACGGACCTTCAATCAGCTTTAGAGTCATTAATTCTTGACGAGAATTCAAGCCAAATTTATGTCTACAACCTTCATTTATCTGAGAGACCATCTTCAACTGCTATCAAAGTGATAAGGTTCTTTGGAAGGAGATATAGAAGGTTCAAAATTAGATATGACTATGAAGCATTCTTCAACTTTTACCAAGACTATGGAGTATTCCACATCCTTTTCTCTGAGAGCTTCCAAAACCAACTGTTTGGAAACCTAAAGAAGGAGAAAAAGCTGACTTCTTTGTCCTGTTTCAACTTTAATCTATCAGAATGTGTACTCAAGAACGAGAGACTTATTAGAATCTGGTGTGATTGCATCACTGTGTTGCTAGGAGTTGAATATCATCAAACTCTCAAAAAGATCAGCCAGTTTGAAGGTCATAAAGATGATATCAGAATGTAAGCTGTTTTCTCATTCTTTAGGAGCCAATCCATTACAGTTCTTCAAAATGAATGGACTCTATACAAATGTCTGATCATTCAATGAATGCTGGATGTCATCATTCTTGCCAAAACAGAGATTAAGGAAGAGAATCAGGTTGAAATGATCACTAGAATTCTATGTGAGAAAATAAATGATACTTTGGTAGACGATAACACTGATATTATCAAACTTTTAATCCATCAGGCCTTTCCTATTGAACTTGCTGATATTCTAATTGAAAGGGTTGAGATCTTCCATGTTTCTATCAACTTTATAGAAGAGTTCCTTCTAAACTCTCTTAACGATCTTGAGCCAATCTTCCAGGAACAGATTGAGGAGAAAAAGGCAGAAGAGCCTATCTTATTCAAAGAAAACACATTTGATTTTCAACCTGAGCATTATCGTTCAATATATCGCACAGTGTTTTTGCTACGCATTTTAGCAAAACTAAGCGAAAAATTTAGCTTGGAGATGCTCCAGGACATAGCAATTAATTTCTTCACACAGGTAAAGTGGTATTGTTAAATTTAGGCTAAAAAGTACTTACCAATCCTATCAGAAACAGAGAAAGATGACCCAAAATTAGCATTCCTTGTCAAAGAGTTTAACAAGTCATGTAAAATACTAGTGGATAGTTTTGAAGACTTAAAGAATGTAGTCCCCCTAAATTCAGAATAAACAGTTCAATATTTACTTTAACCATAGGGGTTTTGGGGTTTTGGGGTTTTGGGGTTTTGGGG